TTAATTTATATGGCATACCTTACCAATGTTAGAGTTTTTTCCTTCTGCTTTCAAAAGGAAAGTTACATTTTTAAAAGTAACCATTTGGTCTTATAAGTTGCATTATATTGCAATTATAAGAAGAAAGATTATGGCTCATTTTTCTTCTCCTAAGATTGTTGAGAAGTAAGAAGGCAAATCATTTTTTAAAAAGCAATATCTGTGCCAATGTCTTTTTTTTTTCAGTTATATTTTCTTCTACACCAGGTTTTAAAAAAGGCTCCCAAAATACATTGTTAAAAGTCTGCCAGAATGGAATTACATATATGAAAATTTAAAGCTGTATCACCAGTAGATGCTGCTTTCATCACACAGTTTCTAAATTCTAGTGTGGACAGGTCAGAAAAATCATTAACTATAATTAAATGAAAAAAAAATGTATGAAAGACCACTGCTGTTGTTTGACTCAGCATCTCTTTCTCATTGCCTTTCTTCATTTCTACATTTGCCTTTGCTGTTTGGACTTAAGGGAGCTTAAGAAGTTAGATAAACATTTTACCACATATCTCAGGAAGTCTTAGAAATTCTTCTGTCAGCAGTATTATTTGTATGTGTTTTAATATTCTGCAAGGTATAAGAATTAGTGCAATGATTTCTGATACGGTTTGGCTCTGTCCCCACCCAAATCTCATTTTGAATTGCCACATGTTGTGGGAGGGACCCGGTGGGAGGTAATTGAATCATTGGGGCAGGAATTTCTTGTGCTGTTCTCGTGATAGTAAGTCAGTCTCACGAGATCTGATGGTTATTATAAGGGGGAGTTTTCCTGCACAAGCTCTCTCTGTCTGCTGCCATCCCCGCAAGGTGTGGCTTGCTCCTGCTTGCCTTCCACCGTGATTGTGAGGCCTCCCCAGCCATGTGGAAATGTAAGTCCAATTGAACCACTTTCTTTTGTAAGTTGCCCAGTGTCAGGTATGTCTTTATCAGCAGCATGAAAACAGACTAATACAATTTCTAATGTGTGTATTTTACTGACTTTGTGGATTAAAAAGTTATTTTCATGATATGTGAACTCTACTGAGCAAAAATTAAACAAATCCATATCAAAAGAATTTTTTTTGTAATTTTTGTGATTTCTGTTGCACCTCCATCTTATCCTACTTTATATTCATTCAAAACTTAAATAGCCTATTATTGTGTGTATATGTTATTCTTATGATTCTCATGTACATTTTAAATTCATTTTTTAATCCTTTTTGGATATCTATATAACCCAGTATTTGATGATATTTTAAGTCATTTCCCCAAATTTTGGGCATAGACAATAGGTTTACAGTATCAAATCAAAGTATTACCAAGCCACAGAGAATGATCATTTTAAATAGGTTTGTTGTCAAATTCCTTTTATGGAAATATTGTTACAGTTTTAGTGCCACAAAAATAATCTTTTTACTCCCCAAACTGAAACTTGTCATTTAAGAATATTGTGATGGTTCAATATATTCTATAATAACTTGTCCATTAGAGTTTGGATATTATCTTAGTTTTCTTACATCAGAACAATAATATATTTTGGAAATAAAACAGTCATCTGAAATTTAAATGTATTTCTTACTCCATCTATTTTTGTTGTTTTTGCTAATCGCTGTATTTTTGCTAATTGCTGTTTTGCTCAATCGCTGTATTTTATTTAATTAATTTATTTTTACTTTTTGTAGAGACAGATCCCATTATGTCGCCCAGGCTGGTCTGGGCTCAAGCGATCCTCTCACCTCGGCCTCCCAAAGTGCTGGGATTACAGGCATAAGCCACTGCGCCTGGCCTCAATCACAATAATAGACAAGAAATTATTTTTCATTGATTTCATTGATTTAAATAGTTTCTATTTTTTTCTTGAATCTAAAGTTTGCTATTATTCCACTATAAATAACATTTATATTTGGAATATCTGATTTGTTAGAAGATGAGAATCTCAAAGGGCATACACAGAGACCATGTATAAGGACTCTTGTAAACTTTAAATGCTTTCGTTGACTAACTGAATATATTTTCTCCTTTCAGATTCTGGTTTTAACTTCATTTTGCTGAAATCAAGGAAATATCTCTTTCTAAATTTTATCTATTATGCCTGCTTATATACTGAGATAGTCAGACTCTAGTAGTGGTTACGTACATTTACACACAATAGCAAGGACATATACTTTGTACATTTGAGTATTTGTCTTCTCATTTATATCACACACGAGTGTAACTAATAGTTCCCTAACCAGTGATACTTGTCAATCAGTTATTACAGTAAATCAAGTGTTAGTTCTACCACATAAACCTTAGCTTCCGTTTCAATATCTATAAAATGAGGAATTTATGTCCAACACATTTTTGATTTTGTTTTAGCTGAAACTCCATTTTTGTGCGTCCACAGCTAAACTTGTTGATATTTAAAAGTCTCCACTAAAGGCTATTGATTCATGGAAATACACCTGTAGAACACACAATATTATTTAACCACCATTCTCTCAAGTATTTCTGTTCATAACAGGTTACAAGATACTCTGGTATTGAATCGACAAATTTTTATGAACTTTGTATTGCTTATTTTCATTTTAGATTAATATTTTCTTACCTTACACTTAGAAAATAAATAAACAATTTAGCTATTAATTAAGACGCTTTGGTCTCACATCCTCACTTGACCTTCACCAGATGTGGGACTATGGGCTTGCTACTTACCTCTCAGTAGCCACAACTATTAAATGGGAATAACACTAGCATTTCCTTTATTGGGATGTTTGAGGATTAAGTGATATAACACACTAAAAAATGTGCCTGGGACCTTTGCCTAAAGCCGTTGTTTTAGAGAATGTCGATATAACTATTTGTACAGATAACTGTGAAAGTAGGACACAATAAATATAGCTTTTCCACAGGAGATAAATGTGACAATATACAGTGTAAGGACACTGAACTATATCCTAAAATTAGACAGCAGTGATTATTCCTTTGTAGTTATTAACGTTAGTTTGTTTTGTTATTTCTGCATTCTAGGTAGTCTATATATTATCACAGATTACAACAATATGCTAAAAAGAACCTTGGCAATCATAAAATCTAACTCCTTCATATATATGTGTATATATATATGTGAGTATATATATATACACACACACATATATAATGAAATCAGTGGGTCTAAACAAATTCCCTAAAAATCACAAAACATATTACGAACAGAGCGGAGTTTGGAACCCTGTATCAGAGAACTTTTGCCATGTAACTATCCACCCCCAAACATAGTAGCTTAAAATAATAATAATTTGCTTAGCTCACAATCCTGTGGATTGGTAATTTGAGATGAAGTCAGCTCGGTGGATTTTCTGCTGGTCTTTGCTCATTTGTCACAATCATTTGGTGATTTGACTAGCATTTGAATTATATAGGATGATGCCATTCATATGTCCAGGTTAGCAGGCTCTTGGCTAGGGCTGTAGGGGTTTCTGGGCCATGTGTCTCTCATCATCTGGCAGGCTAGTCTGGCCTTATTTATATGCTGACAATGGCAGGGGTCCCAAGAGCAGGAAGGGTGGAAGCTGAGCCTCTTGTAGCTTAGGCTTGAACTTGTATAGCTTCAATTCCATTGCATCCTACTCATCAAAGCCAGTCATGAAGCCCGCCAGATTCAAGGGGTAGAGAAATAGACTATCTCTTGATGGAAAGAACAGCAAAACTTCTGTGGCTATTTTCTCCCCCTCTTCCCCAGTCTCACAACACCCATCAGCTAATTTTCAGGTCAGGCTATGGCTCTCTCAATACAGAATACCTAGATAAGCAATCAGATATGATAGCTTACCTTTCCACTTAGCAGCAATTCATTTTTGTCTAGGAAACGTCAGAGTCTTTATTGAAGATGTGATACTTGAAGTAGAGCTTGAAGAATGGGTTTTCCAGACAGAAGATTAAAAAATTGAATTCAGATATAAGGAAAAATATGTGGAAAATCACAGAGTTTTAGAGAGAATGACAGGCTTTGGTACAGTGAGAAACCAACATGACTTGTGGATTACATCATGGTGGGGAAATGTGGGGGACCAGGCTGGAGGAGTCTTCTAATATCCAGAGTTTTTCTATACAAAGTGCTGTGGCAAGAGGAGACTCAGTTACTCATTTTCATTTGAGAATGTGTATTTAGTTTACAAGAGACAATAAGGTAGCATTTCCATTAGGGAAAGGCATTTTTCTCCCCAGAAAGGGAAATCTGAACAAATTACAAGTTCTACGAATTAGAGAATACTGGTGTGTAGCAGAGACTCTATGGAGGTTCGGGCTACAGGAATTTCATCATCCCAAGGGTATAATAGAAGCATGAGCTGGAACCTGGGAAACAAGAAAGAGCCCAGTAGTCTGCACAGGTCAAGTCATCAAAGAGTCAGAGATATAAGTGACTGTCTGGGAGTTCAGGAAATATGACATAAATCAGTCCGCTGGCCAGATGGTTCTATTCCAGCACTTCCTATCTCAGACAGAGCAAAGGAAGTGAGGCATCATGAAGACTGCAGGTGGCAGAAATCAATGTGATTGATGAAAGCAGACAGAGGAAAAGGCAACGTTAAAGTGTTGACAAAATTCTTTATCAATCCAGCACATTAGTTACTACCATAACTCAAAAGGAAATCAACTTTGGGCTACATTTGCAACTCTATAAAAAATGTATGAGCTAAATGCCATAAATTAATGACATCAAGTAAGACTACTTTTATCTTTTATTTCTTAAAGATGATAAAACAGCTTAAGTGACCTGGAATGCCACAGCTGAAAGTGTTATTTTGTATCTTTCTGCTTGAATAAATGGAAGCATTATCAGCTTTCATTTGTTCATATCCACCTAACACCGTCTTCTATTTTCCTGATTCAAAGTATGTTTAAATTAATCAGTATTCTATGAATTACAGCATATATGCTGACCCTTGTTTTTGGTTGAAAATCTATTTAAAAATGGATTTAGTAATTTACTTTCTTTGTTTCAGAGGACCTTATCATGTCCTTCACCGTATCCATGGCAATCGGGCTGGTACTTGGAGGATTTATTTGGGCTGTGTTCATTTGTCTGTCTCGAAGAAGAAGAGCCAGTGCTCCCATCTCACAGTGGAGTTCAAGCAGGAGATCTAGGTCTTCTTACTCCCATGGCCTCAACAGAACTGGATTTTACCGCCACAGTGGTTGTGAACGTCGCAGCAACCTCAGCCTGGCCAGTCTCACTTTCCAGCGACAAGCTTCCCTGGAACAAGCAAATTCCTTTCCAAGAAAATCAAGTTTCAGAGCTTCTACTTTCCATCCCTTTCTGCAATGTCCACCACTTCCTGTGGAAACTGAGAGTCAGCTGGTGACTCTCCCTTCTTCCAGTATCTCTCCCACCATCAGCACTTCCCACAGTCTGAGCCGTCCTGATTACTGGTCCAGTAACAGTCTTCGAGTGGGCCTTTCAACACCGCCCCCACCTGCCTATGAGTCCATCATCAAGGCGTTCCCAGATTCCTGAGTAGGGTGCTTTTGGTTTTTGTTTCTTTCTTGTCTTGTCTTTTATTGAAAGGAAATCGTAAATAGGCTAAACAGAATTTTGAGGGCATGGCCCAAATAACTAACGAGTTCCAAGTTGAAGCATGGTTGTGCAAGTTGGACATTACAATGTAAAACGTATTTTCTTGGAGCACATGTTTTCCCTTTTGTTTCAAAAAATGTAATATTTTCTCCCAAGGGTTTTATATTTATGTATTTTGTATTCAATGTGAGGCTTATTACAAATAGTGATTCTAATGTAAGAATCCACTGAGATGCATTATATATATTTTAATTAAAATTAAAACTTTAGATATTTGTGGATTACAATCCTCATTTACTTCCAATGTGACTAGAAAGAGAAAAAAAAATCAGTGTCACTTTAAAGAGAAATCTTCTAAGGAATTCGGATATTACTTTCTTTAGAATGAGAAGTGAATTATATTGACATTTTACAATCTTGAATTTCTTTTTTTTTTTTTTCTTTTGAGACGGGGTCTTGGTCTGTCGCTCAGGCTGGATTTGCTGTGGCATGATCAGGACTCACTGCAGCCTCTATCTCCCCGGCTCAAGTAATCCTCCCATCTTAGTGCCCAAGTAGCTGGGACTACAGGGGTGCACTACCATGCCCAGCTAAATTTGCTTGAATTTTAGTAAAGATGAAGTCTCACTATGTTGCCCAGGCTGGTCTCAAACTCCTAAACTCAAATGATCCTCCTGCCTCGGCCTCCCACATTGCTGGAATTATAGGCATGAGCCACCATGTCTGGCCAATCTTGGATTTTTAATGGAGTATGTGGGCATGAAATGACAGAACATAGGACATTCTAAAGTTCCTTGATTTTACTCATTATGAAAAGTGTGGGACTCAAGCACAGGAAACTGAACTCTTTTGGTGTCATTGGATGTTTCATTTTTGACACTAATTTTTTCTGGACAAACTCTTTCTGTGTTTTTCCCAAGAATAGTTATCTAATTTCTTGAGGCAAAATCCTTGGATTTACTAACATGATGATTTACCTTTTCTTCACCGTTGTCATTACCTTGTTAGAAAAGCAACAGGAAAAAACCCAATTCATTTGGCCTAAAAACAAGCCTCAAGTTTAAAACCAAGCTCACATTTTTCTTAAGGGAAAAATTTTATTTCTTAAACTTACATCTAGCAACTTGGAAAGCACTTTCTCTGGGGATCTTCTTTTGTAACTTCACAGACAAATAAGTATGAGTCACTGCGGAGAGAGTTTGTTATTGAAATAGATGTTACCCATGAAGAATTCTCCTTCCTGGATTGACTCTTAATCATCAGGCATCATCCCTTGTTTGCTTCTCTACGAATCTCAATTCCAACTTCTCTGCAGAGTCTTTGTACAGTGATTAAGCCATGCCAGATGGTCTTTGGTGCACACAGTTATTTAAGAACCCACTTCCACAGGTGGCTGCCCTTGTAAGGAAGGATGCATCCCTAAATGTGGGCACCAGAGAGCTCCAGTGGGCAGATGTCTGTGGCTGCCCTTCTCATTTAAGGACATGAGTTAACTGGAGTATTACTCAAAAAGCCTGTGGTTCATTTCCAGTATTGTGAATATTTAGTTTATGTGGCCGTTTCTTTGCTTCTTTGAACACTGGGATTTTCAGTGAAAAAGTGCTCTCTTTTTCATTTCCTATTGCAGTGGTCACAGCTAATAGTGTCTGAACATGGTTCAAGAATAAGAGATTCCATGTAGCATTTTCTTTATTATTTTCATTTCGCTTACATTACCCATCATTCCTCAAGGACAATTATTCTCAATAATGCTTATAGAAAATGTTCTCTAATTAAACATGCCAGAAAGAAAGAGTGAGGGAAAGAGGGAACAGGAAGAAAATGGAAGAAAGAAAAGAAAAAGGGAAAAAGACTAACAGGATAACCAATTTGTTATAAGTTGGTTTTCAACAAAGAAATTTAGCAGCCGAGTAAGATTTCAAGAGAATATTAACTTGGTTTCAAGGCTACTTTTTTTTTTTTTTTTTTTTTACTTACATGTCATCCTTAATGTCTAACATGAAAAATCAACAGAATATGATTTTTATCAAGAATTTATGTTGGGAGTAAAAACTGCTTTATATCTTCCAAATTAGGAAGAGAAGACCAGAAATCCTCTGGGGCATTTAACCATCTGGCAGAATTGTTGCTGCACCCTTATCCCAGTTATAAGACAGTTAAAATGACTATTTCCTAAATATTGTGAGTGTATGAAATGTGAAATTAAAGCAAAAACTGGAGACTTTTAATGTTGTATTTCTTTAATTTGAAATGTTTTGTGGATTATGAAATAAAAATAAATTGATGTCAAGTTTTATTCAAAATTCATTTATGAAATAAAGCCAACACTGTTCTAAAAAGCAAGGAGTCAAGAAATTATAAAATTCAGATTAAATCAGGAAAACACATTAGATGAAAAATTATACTGCAGAATTTGAGCTTATTAAAAGTTATTGAATAAGAAAAGTCTCCTTTTTACTTTAGTATTTAAACCTCATCTAGACTATTTGTAAATGAATGGACTGAGACACAAATCCTTTTTCATACACAAATGTATAATGGAGAAAGGTTAATGTCACAAATAAATTTTACAAGATTTTTAAAATTAATGCAGATGGAAGAATTAGTAAATTATTTATTTAAAACATGAACTTAGATTCTTATCTCATTAGCTAAATATATAATTACAGAATTATTTAATTAATGTTTTTAGAGAATAAGCATTTTAAATAATGGCTATCTTAAAAATAGAGGAAATTTGAAATAAATATTTAGCAAATCTATGAAATAGAAAAGGGGCACTTTTTAAGAGCCAAAGGGATGAAATAAATTACAAAGAAAAATATTAGCAGTTTTGATTATTTAAAAAAATTTAAAATTCTGTTCATTAAAAGATAAATGTATCCAAGTCCAAAAACAAGCAAGAACAGAAAAAAGAAGAAAGAAGTTAAGTTCATATAAATATGACAAAAATGGCCAATAGCTTGAAGTTATGATTAGCACACATAAATAGATGTGGAAAATACTCAGCTGTAAATAGATAAATTAGTAATGAACCAAAATAAGCAATTCACCAAAGAGAAAAATTAATTGATTAACAAGTTTATACTGCATGTTACTACTAAGAAAGTGCCCATGTACATTTAAACAACACTCTAGTAGTTTCGTCTATCACATTAGCTTATTATTATTATTATTATTATTATTTGAATAGAGACGGTGTTTTGCCAAGTTGGCCAGGCTGGACTTAAACTCCTGGCTTCAAGAGAGCCGCCCACCTCAGCTT